CCCCCATCCCCACCCTCAGAGACAGGATTAATTCCCCCCCCCACCACCCTCAGAGTCAGGATTAACCTCCCACCCTCAGAGCCTGGATTACCCCCCACCCCCAGCACCACCCCCCCCCCCCCCCCCCCCCCCGAGACAGGATTAACCCCCCCACCCTCAGAGCCAGGATTAGCCCATCCACCCCCCACCCGCTGGGAGAGCGCCGCTGTTACCCCCATCCCTACAGGAAGGATTACCCACCCCCACCACCCCCATCCCCTCGTGCGAGAGCGCCTCGATCGCTGTGTCCAGCTATTCCCACAAAAGATTCCGGAAGCACAGTCTATGTAAAGTCATTTGCCCCCAAGGGGCAGGGAGCGGTCACCGTGGGAGCCACGTTTCCAGTTCTGACAGGGTTAGGATTGGATTCGGATTAGCTCCAAGTGATCAGGTGCGGAACCGGATCCGAGCTGCCGAACTGAAACCGCGATCCCACGGGGAATGCTGAGGGCAGGTGAGCTCCTCCCGGAGGCGGCTGCTCGGGCACGAAGCAGAGCCTGGTTTTGGCATCAAGTGCACAGAGATTGCGGATATGTTTGCGCAAATCCACAGCCGCCGTCTATTTCTGTCACAGTGCAAGCCGGCGGCGCTGCCCGGCCACATTTACGCTGTGTCTAAAGTTAACATTTCATTCACATTTCAACACCACCACTTATTGCAGCCTGTCTTCCCTAAGCATTCCAGACGGAGCTCAGTACTAAACAAAGACACAATACAATAAGACATTTGATCCTCGGATCTTAAACTTGGGCGTTCCTACATTGGCTTTATTTCCACAATGCACACTTCAGCACGCTGATAACCTCCCGGCCCATTGTGTCCAGGATGCTCTTGTATTCACTGTAAACCTGAACTCTGTTTTACAACCCAGGGAAATTGTCAAATAAACGTATAATTTGTTTTCATTTTTTGTTTACAATGTTAACAATTTTCAAACACCAAGTGGCTTCAGATTAGACAGTCCTTCACTCATAGTGACCCCCCCCCGTCATTTCTTTGAAGTCATCGATTTAGGGACATGGCTCCAACAGAACTGATTGTAAATAGTTTTATTTAACGTTTAGTTTTCCCATGTTGGTCACTTAATATTGGCAAACGCGCCGAGCACCACCATAGAATCACAAGATAATATGGTACAGAGGGAGGCAGTTCAGCCCATCGTCTTTATGCAAGCCCTTGAGGAAAAAAAGATAATTTCCCAGTCCCTCTGCTCTTTCCGCGTAGCCCTACAAATTTGAACCATTCAAACAGTTATCCAATTCTTTTGTTAAAAAAGAATGAATATGCTTCTACCAACATTTCAGACAGTAAATTCTAGATCGTAAAAACTTATTCCTAAATCATTTTTTCCTCATGTCAGCTCTGGGTCCTTTGCCAATTACCTCACATACCTGTTCCTGCTGTCTTACACTTCCGCCACTGTAAACAGCTTCTCTTTAATTCCTGTGTCAGAGCTCTTCATGATTTTGACTTCTATTAAACTTCCCCTTCTCTGCTGTCAGATAGACCTTGATGTCACTAATCTCCGGTGGCGACTGAGCTGTAGTAAATCAGTTGGACTCTACTCACTATCACACCCTCCACCAGAACAGTGCATCAATTTCAGCTCCACACTGTCTTACATAGGATTTTTGGAAATCCAAATACACGACGTCCGATCAAGTATAAGATGATGTTAGTATTAGAACTGGAATAGCCTGTAAGTTAGCTGATGCCTTCTTTACACTTTACAGATTGTCCCTGTGTTGCTGAGGAGTGAGTGGTGCTGCCGCTGGTGAACACGTTGCTAACTGGCTGCTATGCTTCCCCTAAGATACAGCAGCAACTACAATTTAAAAGTACTCAGTTGGCTGGAAAACACTTTGTGATATCCTGAGATGGTTAAAGGTGCTCTATAACTTCAAGTCTTTCTTTCTTCAATGTTGATGCTGGCTATTGACTGTGTGAACACATGTATAGATCTGGTACATGCATTTCTTCCATTGAAAAGGCACCTCTTGTAACCAACTGACATCCCAAAATATTTTACAACTAATAAAAACTTCTTAAAAGTGTAGCCATTGCAGTAATGTAGGAGACATGACAATAAGTTTGCAGACAGTGAGGGCCCATAGCCATCAATGTGATAGCAACCAGATAATCTTTTAGTAATCCTGGTTACGAGATATCTATTTACCACAACACTGGCCGAACTTCCCAGCTGGTTTTCAAAACAGCATGTTGTTCGTTTTTTGTGTGTCATGTGAAGGTCTCTGTGACAGGGCTGAAACAAGTATTCCGACTGTAGGGTGATATGTTGATATGAAAATTTCATCTTAGTGCTAAATTTAGATTACAATCTTGAACTCATAAATTAGTTTGTTTATTTTTTATTCCAAACCATTTTGAATACTACTGTTACATATCAATATATTCAATGTCAATTACTTGTGACACCAGGAAAAAGGTTCTGGTTATTACTATTGCACAGTATCATCAGGAATATGCTTTCTGTTACTTTGTCTATAAAGTAGTTTTTAATCTTATATATCTAGCCTTACTAATAATTGTAGAAACATCCTCCACAGTAAACAAAATTGAGCAATTGTGTCGTAACTCGCCTAAATGCCCACAGTAGCATTTTAATATAAAGTTAAAAGCATTTTGTCTACTGTAGACAGTGTTATACTGTTCTCACCTAACAGCCATGCCTATAAGGTCCTGATAAAATGTTATGCTCTTTTTTTGTTGGAAAGTTTTTGACCAGATTACATTGCGACTCACTCAAAAATACATATCATTTTATATTTTTGTCAAAGTATATCTGAAAATTTCATATCAACTGATGGCGCATTTGCTGTAGTATTGTGAACTTCTCAAAATGCAACAATGATTTAATTTCAGGAATATACATAGAATCATGGAATCCCTACAATGTGGAAGTAGGCCATTTGGCTCACTGAGTCCACACCAACCCTCTGAACAGCATCCCATCCAGACTCACCCATCCTTGGAATCCTGCATTTCCCACGGCTAATCCACCTAGCCTGTACATGAGGGAGAATGTGCAAACTCTAGACAGTTCCCTGAGGCCGGAATCAAACCTGAGTCCCTGCTACTCTGAGGCAGCAGTGTTAACCACCAAGCCACCATGCCGCCCAAAATACACTTGTTACTATGCCGTTACATTCTTTGCCCAGATGGGAACTGGAGCAGTTCATGGCGAAAAGTAATGGAAACAAATTTTTGGCAAGAGAGATAGCAAGAACTGCAGATGCTGGGGTCAGAGATAACACAGTGTGGAGCTGGAGGAACACAGCAGGCCAGGCAGCATCAGAGGAGCAGTTTCTGGTCGAGACCCTTCTTCAGAAATGGGGAGGCGGAAGGGAGCTTAGAAATAAATAGAGAAAGGAGGGGTGGGGCTGGGGAAGGGCAGGTGGGGTGGTGATAGGTGAGTGCAGGTAGGCAGTGGTGGGGATTGGTCAGTGAGGTGGGAGGAGCGGATAGGTGGGAGAGAAGACGAGCAGGTTGTGTCAGATCAAGGAGGCGGGGTGAGAGGGAGGGTTGGACATGGGATGAGGCCGGGGGTGGGGAGATTTTAAAACTGGTGAATTCCATGTTAAGGCCATCAGGCTGTAGACTCCCGAGGTGGAATATGAGGTGTTGCTCCTCCA